TTCTGACCCATATTGACCCTGTATAGGGTTTCCAAGGAGCAGCTGGTGAGCTTGAACCACCAACCTTGCAGTTCAAATGACTTTGCAGTCTGAGGCATTAGCTCACAGTGCCACACCTGGACTCCTATGAGTATTTACAGGTTGAATTATGTCTCTGTCTATTAGAGTATTTTGGGAGATATAACTCAACCTGTACAAATCACTGAGTTTTGGGATGGCTATTCTGCACCTTTGCTGAGAAGCTGTTGGGTCTTCTGGAGTGACTGTCAAGTTCCCAAAGGTGCACAGTAATTCTACCTGTTGTTGTTAGGTGCCATCAAGTTGGTACCAACCCATAGTGACCTTATGCACAGCAGAACGAAACACTGCCTGATTCTGGGCCAACCTCACTACTGTTGCCACACTGAGTCCATCGATGCTGCCACTTGGCCAATTCATCTCGTTGGGGTCTTCCTCTTTTTCTCTGACCCTCCACCTTAGCAAACATGATATCCTTCTCTAGAGACTGGTCCTTCCTGGCAGTATGCCTGAAGTATGAGAGACAAAGTTTGGCCATTTTGGCCTCCAAGGAGCACTCTGACTGCACTTCCTCCAAAACGGATCTATTGGTTCTTTTGGCAGGCCATGGCACTTTCAATATTCTCTTCCAACACTGTAGGAGTAGAGTGTCATAAAAGCTGTTGAAGTTACACTCATTTGGTTCTTGGGCAATCAAAACTGCAAACTCTTGCCATTGGAATTTAAGAGAGAATTAGTAGTGTTGAAAATAAGTTTTTAAAAGTTTGCATAACGGAACATTGGCATCCTACACTAGCTTTCTGAAACGAAATTCAGATGTACACATCCTTCTTGGGCTCGGTCTCTTGCAGAAGCTCCTGTGCCCAATGGGGGGCGGCAGCATCCAAGTAACACACTCCCTGAAGATTTGTAGGTGGATGGAGATTCGCATTCGAAATATTTTTGACTCTAGCCGCTCTCCGTAGTGCCTTAGCCCGCTCGAGTTTCAATGCGCGTTGTTGCTTGCTTGAAGCTGAGTCCTGTACCTCTCCTCCTGCCCTCCTGGTCATGGCTTCTCCGAGTTCCTTCACCTACTATTGTCCTCCATCCTCCTCTCCGGTGTGGTCAGAGCCGCTTTACAGTCTGAGGCCGGAGCACGCGCGGGAGCGGTTGCAGGACGACTCGGTGGAAACAGTCACGTCCATAGAACAGGTGAGGTGGTTGGAGCGGGCGAGGCGGCCGCGCGGCGGCTTCTGGGAGAGGGAGTCCAGTCTGCCAGGCCTTGGGGTTGCGGAATTCTTTTGGGAACTACGACTCCCACGGCACACTGCGGCGCCTCTGCACTGTGAGGCTCTGGCGCCCTGGCTGGGGCTTCGGAGTGGAGCGTTTGGGGGCCAGATTGGGAAGGAGTCTCTGCCAGGTGTGCGCTTGGAGCAGAGGACGGACCCGAGTCCTCTCTGCTTAGGGAGAGGAGAGAAGCGTGTTCGGCGCCTGGAGGACTGAAGCCACGCGGGCGGGTCTGACAGCCCACTTCTTTCTGCCGGGGCCGCGGGAGGTTTTCAGATGCACGGTGTGCTTTCCCCTAGCCTGTTTGCAGTTTCAGGACTTCGAGGGGGAAAGAAGCAGCATGTTGCATCATGCTATCCTATAATCTGCTTGATATCCGACCTGCAAAGCTGGGTTAGGGGCCTACCTCATGGATGAGCATGTTGGAAGTTATACAGTCTGTGTTGGATACGCGAGAAATAAAAATATAAATAAATGAACGCAGTCCTTGACCAGGAGCAGTACACAGACTAGTTAGGGAAGACTGGAAAACAATGCAAAAGTGCCATAGTAAAAGTTGTTGTTGTTGTTAAGTGCCATCGAGTCGGTTCCGACCCATAGCGACCCTGTAACAGGGTTTCCAAGGGTGTAAATCTTTACGGGAGTAGAAAGCCTTATCTTTCTCCCGCGGAGCGGCTGGTAGTTTCGAACCGCTGACCTTACGGTTCACAGCCCGATTCGTAACCACTACGCTAAAAGTAGTGGATTTTAAATCACTTGTTATGTTCTGAGGCCTAGAAATAGGACTGAATCTATCATTTTAAATAAAAAGTCATTGAGAAATGAACAATGAATTATAGTTTCTTTTTTCTTCCCATTCCTCAATTGGATTTGCTCCCAAGTTAGTTATTGGAGAGATGTTTACCCATCTGTCACCAGGACAAGTAGTCAGGATACTGTTTAACACTAACAGTACAGTAGTAGCCTGCTTTCTAAAGTAAAATCACTTAGTAACATCAGTCTCCATGCTTAACCTTGTAGATTTGTCTTTGTCTTTTACCTGTAGTTGGAGCTCTCCGTGTAAAGCCAAGTTAATAGCCGAGATTACTGGTGTTGTCAAGCACCGTCTAGTCTGACTCATAGCAGCCCAGTATAGGATTTCTGAGGAGCAGCTGGTGGTTTGAACTGACCATGTAGTTCACAGTCCAGTGCTGATCCTACAGCACCACACCACAAAAGTCCTTATAGGTTGTATATGTGGGACTATAAATTAATTACACAAACAAGGGCTGTACACATAAGGGGAAAATACTTCAATTGGACATTTATGCTTCAGGAATTTTAGGGTAGAAAAGGTAACCTTCACTTTTTGAATCTAGCTCTTCAGGTTTATTAACCCACACCACTTCTTTCACCAGAAGTCTTGCAGAAGATTACCAGGAAATCTCCCATCAACCACCTACAGAGTTTTTGCAGTGAAGAATTGGTGCAATGTTTCAGGGCAATCTTTTGTCTCTTTTTTTTCTGACCTTAGTCTATGGGGTCACCTTTTATGTAAGTAAAGGGAATTTACCCAGCAGACAATAATGAGGATAAAATGCTTATGGAAAAAAAGGAACCCAGCAGTTGGTCGGTTAATCTTTTGTGACTTGCTGAAGCTCCTGTTTATTCACAGGACTCGATTTTGTGCCATTGTGAATAAAAGCTAGTGCTTGTCACCTGCTTCCTATCTGATTATTTGTTGTTGTTGTTATGTGCCTTGGAGTTGGTTCCGACTCATAGCAACCCTGTACAGGGTTTCCGAAGCTGTAAATCTGATTATTAGGATACTTTATTTATTTATTAAACAATAATTGGATAATCAGATTTAAACCGTAGCTAGTGTGGAAAGAGCCTTAACTATGGGTTCTTCTATTCCATTCATTCAACAAGTAACTTGAGTTCCTGTAGGCATTGGGCATAAGGCAGCAAACACAAGAGGTCCAGTTGAGTATTGTGAGAAACGTCTGTACTGACAAACGGTCAAGTAATCCAATCTGTACTCGTTTTAGCAAGAGTGAGGTTTTCTTTATTTGATTTTGCGAAATCGGGCGCCCAACCCCATAGACAAGGGCAGATGGCCACATGGCCTGCCACAAATGTTTTTTATTTCTTGTCTCCAAAAAGCCCCTTCTCCAGTTCCAGTTCCCCATATACAATTCTGTGACATGTCCCATTTTCCCTCCCCCCAGAGAAGCCAAAATGGCTTGCCCATTGTCTTAATGGCTGTATTCTTATTTAAATTTCCTAGTCCTGGTATGTCCTAGTTAGTATCCGTCCTGTATGTAAATCAACAATCTTGTTTGTCAGGCCTAGAAATCTCCTGAATTCCTGAAGATGGACCACACCCACTAGAGTCATTTCTCACAGTATGCTACTTACTAGAGGCCAGGGAGTCATTTTAAAAAGGGGAACGCATATGCACAAACACACAAGGGAGCTTCAAAAAGATTCATGGACAAAAAAATAACAGATAATGGAATTCTTCCATGAACTGTAAAAAAAACTTTTTATTATGAATTGAGTGAAGGTTTACAGAGCAGATCATCAGTTCTACATTCAACAATTACATGGTTTCAGTCCCCTCTGTGTACCAACAGTTAACAGTATTTACCTCTATCCACTTTAACTGTTGCATTCCTCCCTGTGTCTCCTTCTACTTTCATCTATTCTCTGCTAACATCCCTCTTACCCTGTTAATATGTGTCTACCCTCTAGCCCATGAATAATCCATCCCCCCAACCATCATAGATTGTTTATCAAGATTTTTTTTTAAACTTTTTACAACATTGTTCTCATACAGTGTTGTCATTTTGTGATTGCTAATTTCACTCAGTATAATGTTCTCCAGGTTCAACCATGGTGTGAGGTGTTTCACAGATTCTTCATTATTTTTCAATCATTTGTAGTATTCCATCGCATGCATATACCAAAGTTTGTTTAACCATTCTTCTGTTGATGAACATTTAGGCTGTCTCCATCTTTTTCATTTGTGGCTTGTAGACAGCATATTGAAGGATCCTGTTTTCTTATCCATTCTACTCTTTATGGCTCTTGACTGGTACATTTAATCTATTTACATTCAGTGTAAATTATCAATAGGTATAAATTGATTGTTGTCTGCTTTTTTTCTTTTTTTAATGGTGCTTCTGTATTTTGTTCCACATAGTTTTCTATGCTTTATTTTGTTTGTGGGTTTTCTTGTGATTTTCATTTCTGTTGTGCTAAGGTTGCTATGGGTTGGTATTGACTCGATGGCACCTCACAACAACAACAATGTTTACTAAATCTTTCTTATTATTTTTCTTTGAGGTTACCCTGTAATTTACTGTTTTTTCCTGTTTAAAACAGTCTATTTTATCTTGAAATCTACTTGACTTTCTTGCAGTTTGAAAGTTCTGTATCTACACTGTTGCACCTTTTTGCTTTGTAGTTGGCTTCATTATACGTTGATATTGCTGTTTCCCTATTTTCAGTCTTGGAGGTTTGTTTTGCTTTAAATACTTCTTTTACCTGGATTGAGTTCTGGTGTTATCATGTGTGGTACTATCAGATTGTTGTTTGCTATTGGGTGTTACCCTAAAGAACATCCTTTAGCTTTTTTGTAAAGTTGATCTGGTTATTAAAAATTCCTTTAATTTCTGTTTATCAGGAAATGTCCTAATGTCACCCTTGTATTTGAGGAACTTCTGATGTGGCGCTGTGGATCAGTACTGGTCCGTGAACCACAAGGCTGGCAGTTAAAACCCACCAGCTGCTCCCTAGAAACCCTGTATAGGGTTGCTATGAGTTGAAACCGACTGGATGGCACTTAACAACAACAACTTGAGGGACAGCTGTGCTGGATATATGATTCTAGGTTGGCAGTCTTTTTCTTTCAGTTTTGTGTATGTCATTCCATTGTCAATCCATTGCCTTCTTGCCCTCATGGTTTCTGCCAAGAAATCCAAGCTTAGGTATATTGGTTCTCTTTTTTTGGTAACTTTGCGTTTTTCATGAACTGCTCTCAGGATTCTGTACTAGTCTTAGATTTTGGAAAGTTTGATTATGATATGTCTTGGTGATTTTTTTTTTTGGATCTACCCTGTTTGGGGTTTGTTCAGCTTCTTGTGTGCTTATCTTGTCTTTCATGATGTTAGGGACGTTTTCTTCCAACAGCTCTTTCTGTTCTGGAATTCTGATCACCCGTAGGTTGTTCCTCTTCATGTTGTCCCACATAACTCTTAGGCTTTCTTCGTATTTTTTCTTTCTATTTTTTTATTGTCCTTCTAGCGTACCTTGTTGTTAAGTGCTGTCAAGTTGGTTCTGACCCATAGCAACCCTGTATAGGGTTTCCGAGGAGCTTGTACCACTGACCTTGCAGTTCAAACCGACTTTACAGTCCAGTGCATTAGCCCATAGTGCTCCTAGTATTGAGAGATTTATCTTCCAGCTCACTAAATTGGGCTTCCATTGCTTCACATCTCTTCCTTTGCCCTTTGAATGTACTGTCATTGCTGAGTTGTTGATAAGTGACTTTGAGTCAGTTCCGACTCAGTGATCCTGAGGGGAGGGGCTGGGCAAGGCTTGCAGTGTATACCCTTTGGTTGGTTGATGATACATGGAGGTGATTGTAATCATGGCAATGAAACGCTCTATGATAGGATGAATGTAAAACTAATTTTCTCCCATGTAAACTATCACATAATTCACAATAAAACACTAAAAAACAAACAGTGAGGATTTTGGACCCAGAGGGGAGAAATCACTGAGGGGTTCCTTCAATTCTAGGAGCTCATGGGGTGCTTGTAGAAGGGCTGTGACAGCAGAGTTCCTGGCCTGGGTGGAGTTCCTACTGGCTTAGGTGTTACCTGTGTTCAGGGCACTCAATCCGGAAGTAGTTCATGGGGAACCTTGATGGAGCTGGT